CCGAGATGGGAATGTAAGGGTTTTTGAAACGAACGTTATGTGTGGTGAGAGATTTGAGGTTTAGACGCTTCTGAGAAGAAAGAACCTCAAAAACTAGAGCATCGCTATGAGACGTTTCAAAGCAAAGAAAGAAAGGAATCAAAAGAATGTGAGTGTATGAGTAAAGATTTGATATGGCAGCTTCCTCCTTGAAACGACAAACTTATCACCGGTGTTTGTTCCTTCCTCCACTGGCCAGGTAAGTTTCACTGAGATGTTGCTGGAATTCCCCACCCGCCCTCGGCGAGTCAGCGCGTGTCTGATTAAACGCGCCTGCGCCCTGCAGCCCACTAGCCCACCTCTGAATCCCCAGTAACAGGCAGGGTCTAACGCCGTCAGGGGATAGGTAAGGTAAACAGTGAAGCATTAGCGCTATTGTTACGCTAATGGTCAGTGCTTCAGTCACTTCGGGAGCCAAAAAGGGATCTAACTGGACAGTGCTTGGTTTCACAGCCATTTCCATTGTTGTCAGAAGCGAAGCAAGTACAAAGTGATACACCTTCACCTTACAATATCACAACAAGTTTATGTCAGAATAAAGCTCTGTAACCCGAGGCCTCGGTTGACGTATCAGTTGGCTCCTACTCAAATCTCCTTTAGTAGTGGAAATGGCTCTTAACCGGAAGTACGCCGCTCTTCCAGATCTGGTGAGTTGTTACCTCTAGCACAAAGAGATGTCAAAGATGCTAACGACCTTGCCTAGGATTCTGCTCCAGACATCTACGAGACCCCGGAGCTCACAGATGATAACTCCACAGTCCCTGTAAGCTTCTTCGCGTTACATATACGGTCGGTTGACAGTCATTAACGTATCCCTAGACAACCACTGCTCGAACCCATTCGGACGACGAGTTCTACGATATCGAGGATGAGACGCCTGGTATATCTCGATCCCGGCTGCGAATAGATGAAGCGCGTTCTCGCTTTCTTCCCACCAATGTTGACGCGAACGGAGTCGACTTCTCGGACCGAGTCGACGGAAAGCGCAAGGCGTACAAAGTGTCCAGCCGAAGACAAAGAATACTGCAGGACGGTACTCAGGAGCTTGGCGATCTCTCTGACGACGACGACGATGAGAGTCTAGAACGCCGAATTGCCCGCCTGAAGCGCGAAGTGGAAGAAGCAAAGAACGAATATGCAAAGCGAAAAGCAGAATCACAGACAAATGAAAACATTGACGCCACCGCCGGTGATGACAGATTGACTTCTCTCAGCCAAGTCTTGGACGAGATATCGCAACCCACCGGTCGGCCAACTTCGATTCGGATTCCAGGGACCAATGCAACCTCAAATTCTGAAGAGAAGACCGACGCACCTTCAGCAGAGGATGCAACTTATACTTTAATGTACGAACCGACGTATGAGCAAAGTCATGCGTTAGCCAAGGCAACTGATTTCGACCGTCGGTTATTGATGCTGGAGCGGGGACTCGGAATCAATGCTTCATTGATGCCAGAGTCTGATGCTAATGGTCTTCCTCGTGCAATTCTGCCTACTTTGGACTCTATGAACAAGCAGATTTCTACGCTCGCCGAAGCTTCGACAGCCAACTTGGATGCAATCAGTCGGCGTGTACGAACACTGGCCCAAGAGCAGGACAAGCTGAATGGCTCTCGGGAGAAGGCCAGATCATTGAGAGAAGAGCTTGGCCGAAATGGGTCCTCGGCTCAGAATGAAGAGACTGAGCAGGAGGCCAAGATCAATGCCTTGTATGGCATCCTCCCTACGATTGAAAACTTGACCCCTATCCTGCCACCTCTACTGGACCGGCTTCGTTCGCTGAGAGCAATTCATTCGGATGCTGCCACTGCGAGTGAGACATTGGCCCGCATTGAGAAACAGCAAGCAGAGATGGCCACGGAACTGAAGCAGTGGAATGAAGGTCTTGTGAAGATTGAGGCGGCTGTAAAGGACGGCAGTATGTCTATTGAGAAGAATAAGCAAGTTATGGAGGAATGGGTCAAGGATCTAGAGGAGAGGATGGAAGATTTATGAATAACGATGCGTTGATCTGATACCCCAGAAAGTTAGCCAAGTAATTGAGGAAATGAGTCAACCAGCTGTTGATATCCAAATAACCAATAAATACAATCTTTTTTACTTCCAATCAATTTCATCATTTATGTCTTTAATCCATCAGATAGATATATGTGCTCTGTACAGAGTAGGTGGTGGCCATCTCGGTAGTGGCGCCCCAAGCTGCGCCACGTGGCTGAACATAATCGGCTCAGCTATTAATCCGCTCGTGGGGTTAAGGGCTTCTTGCTTTGCAGTTTGACACACCAAATTAATTGATTTGCTAAACGAAAAAAAGTTCTATCTTCCTCCAGCTCACGTTCGCGACCACCGCCCAATCCACCCAAATTCCCAACAGTACGGCTTCTCCTCGACCCATCGCGCTTTCCATTCTCATCCAGCTCACAAGTTCTTCAGGTTGCAACAATGGACGCCTCCAAGCAGCCCGTCAAGCTCGTCAAGGTCACCCGAGTTCTCGGCCGAACCGGTGCGTCTCTCCCCGAAATTTGATATCAATGAAGCAAGATATCAGAAGGATCGAAACGAAGGAATGAAGAAGGGATTCTCTGACTAGATGGATAGGTTCTCGTGGTGGTGTCACCCAGGTCCGCGTCGAGTTCATGGACGACCAGACCCGATCGATCATCCGAAACGTCAAGGGCCCAGGTACGATTTGATTCTCGAAGCCCTCTCAACGCACAAACGAGGGTTCAGAGTAGGAATACAGGGTTACAAATGCTAACACACAACCACTACAGTCCGTGAGGACGACATCCTCTGCCTTCTCGAGTCCGAGCGTGAGGCCCGACGACTACGATAAATGTGCATTCTGGGGGAGCATGGGGTTCTCGAAAGACGGTCAACGACGGATGGTCTATGCATGCTGATGCTATGGCGTGCGCGCCTTGTATTGGGACTGGGACATTGACCTGGAGCTGCACATGACACTCCAGTTTCATTTGTTAGAGGAGTCACACGGACGGATCTGGTCTGGCATAACGAAAAAATTCCAGAACAGTTGTTCTTCTGCAATATTGGAATCCGAAGAAAAGTGAAATTCATTTCTTGTCTTCTCCGTGGTATCCTCCCTCTGCAGCTCCGATCCTTTCGAAGCCCAGCTCAGCTCAGTGCAGGCAAGAAAAGATCCTACCGGGAGTTCTCCAGTCAACACGTGCTATGATGCGATCCCAACGACCTCGAAACTTCAGCGTTGACCTGGCAACTGAAGATATTATACTTAATTTTTCTCTTTGACATTCTGCGTCTGTCTCCATAACTAACCTCGCTTCACATCGTGAATTCTAGTCACGTGCAGCTTCTCTGACCTCAAATTAGGCGGGGCGGCCAGAGGAAATCTTCAAAGTTTCCTCCTTTCATCTCCAACAATTTTCTTTCCACAACTCAAGGCTCTCCCAACTTCCTTGGTAAGTCAACGCATTTATTCTTATGCAATTCTATTTGGAATGATGTTTTTAGCATGTATTACCTGAAACATACATTGATGTACCTTTTTATCACCAAGATCTCTGATCCAAACCCTTATCCACCACTGGTTTCTGCACTCTGTTTCTGGCCACTGGCTAACATTCAAAAAAGAATTTTATAGGCACCTCGCTTCCACAATGTCTTCGGTCCCCAAACCTCCAACCGGGCATTTCAACGTTCTTTACTTTGCCAGTGCTAGCTCGTTCACTGGTAAGGACTATGAAACTTTGCCGGCCACGATGCCCCTTAACAAGCTCTTCGCCGAGCTCGAGTCCAAGTATCCTGGCATGAAGGCCAAGATCCTCAATTCCTGCCTAGTCACTGTCAACCTCGATTATGTAGACTCGCCTAGTGAGGAGGGTGCTTCAGACACAGTGATACAGGAAGCAGACGAAGTGGCTATTATCCCTCCCGTCAGCTCCGGTTGAAGGATATCGAGTGTCAGTTGCAACAATCGCTCGGTGTCTGTTCCGTGATTCTTCTAAACCTTAGTCGTGGGTGCACCCACGAGATCTTATCCTAGGGACCTCCATTATCCGGCCAGCTTCCTGGTAGCAGGGGCTCAAGTTCTCCAGCTCGTAACCACATCCTTGCCCAGTGTTGATTCCGTAGCCGCCACCAACCAGGATGCTTCTTGTGGTACTGCCAGAACCATCGGATAGCAATCACAAGACTGATCGTGAGTAAAACAAAGACCAGTGTCGATATAATGGTGACAATGGCGGTGAGGCTCGTGATTGACGAAACCTGGCACCCGAGCGGCCTTGTCCGTAACTCCCAACGTTCGGCCCAGTGTGGACAGACATTCTCGTTGTAAGCTGGTGCGAGCAGTGGGATGTTGCTAGTATTTGGCACACATGACCATGTCTGTGAGTTCGATAAGTATGTACAACTTGAAGTGATATGGTTTGTAAATGAAAGCGTACAAAAGGACACCAGCCACACTGTGAAGCTGCAAGACAACCTTTGCATGTTTGATGCTTCCAACATCTTAGGAAGTGTTCGTCATCATGGTTCCCATGCAAGGTGAAGTTGGCTCGCGCAGCCTGAAAGTCAGATCGATCCAATTGCAAAAAATCCATAGTCTCTAAGTAAAGGTGAGGTTCTAATGATGTATCAGATTGACTATAATGGCGACACCAACTTGAGTTGATGTGCTTATAATAAACTCAAAAGAGGCCAAGGGTTTGAGGTTGAGCGGGGAAGCATCATACGTCAACCCCTGTAGCCACTCAAACACACACCATGTTTGAAATCGATGCCTTAGGACTATCTACCTACTCATAGCACAACTCGGTATTGCTTAACACATGACTGAACGAGAACATCGCAATCATACAAACCTTGGTGAGGGTTTGCCGTCTTATCTAAGCTAAGTGTAACAATGTATTCGTTGCATTCAAAGACACAGGAATGGCTGAAGCCGGAAGAATGAATTGCTACGCCTCATTCACCAAGCATTAGACCATGGCGCGTTCTCTCATCTGTCGAGATTTCCTCACTCGTCGCTTCACCTCCCTGATGTCTGCCCGCCTTCTCCTCGACCTTTCTTCCTTGGATTCCCGCGCTGGTTCATTGCCCAGACTCTTAAGCGGCATGAGATCAGCCAGAAATTGTCGAATGTGTAGACCAGTCTTCTCGTGGATGAATGAATCAATCTGCTCGTTGCAAGCTGCCGAAGACGCAATATGGAGACCCCTTAGCACATCGCGATCTAGGACTCCATCTTGGTCATAATCTTGATCGGGTGCTCGAAGACTTCGAATGGATGATGTTCGCTTTGGTACGTTTGGTCGTCCAATCTTTCGACCAGAAAAGCCTCGTGAACAGACAGTAACATGATTTGGTGATATGGAATGGCTTCCATAGTTGTGTCTCCTGTCAGATGATACCTTTGCTTTATCTTTATCAAGTAAGTTCTTCTTCGGTGTAGATGGTGAGATATCTTCAACAGACAATCTGCAGCTTTGTTCTGTAGCTGTTGATGATGAATCTGGGTGAGGGAGTTCTGGCAAAGGTTTACTGGACTTTTTTGTGGCACGTAACTGCTGTGGGACAACAATATCAGCACTTAAGCTATGGCCGCTTCTGGGGTGAGGTTGCACCAATGTGGATTGCTTGATATCTCTCGAGGTCTGCACTGGTCTGGCGCATGGGCTCTCCTCTTCGTTTCCTTGGCTACAATTTCTGTCTGCATAACCGTCGTTCTTTGCACGAGGGTGGTGTTTATTTGAGGATGGGCCAGCATTATCCTGGACTGCCGATTCCAAGGACACACTTGAGCAAATCATAGGTGTCCCTCGCCCAGTGAAAAAGGCCAGATTTGATTGCCTCGCCACTTGGGTGCTTCGTACAGCTGGGAAACTCGATTTCGTCTTCCGTTTGTCGAGGTTCTTCCGCTGGTTAGACCTTCTCTCCAAAGATGTGACAGTGGGCCATTCGGGATATGTATGCATTCGTGGTCTGGGAAGCTTGGCCGTAGGTCCTGTTAAAGCCTTCTCGTTGAGGGATTCCGAATATAAAGGTTTTGGTTTCTGTGTAAGCTGCAGACAATTCTAATCACTACTACATTGACACATATCTCCCAGTTGACAAGAAGTGCAGCAAGTCTGTGGCACTTTCTGCTCAGCTTTTACCTTCTTTCTTCGATGCTTATGGGGCTTTGGCTGGTCCACCATTGCATATCTGAACTCGTCCATGTCTTTTGCGACCGGGAATGGGATCTCTGTACTTGAACTAGGGCAGCCTGTATTGCCATCCATTTGGAGGATATGCCGTTGTTCGATATGAGGCGGGGGCGCTTGGTTCATCATCGCTCTATGTTTACCAACATGAGACCAGTGAGAGGAACGTTTCTTCTGATCTTTTGAAGTAATCGCAAGACCGGCAGCTTTAAATTCAGAACGAAAGGGCAAAAGAGCTGCTATCGTATGAAGGCTTGTACTAGAACGCGGTGGGGTCGGAGTAGGTATCGGCAGCTTCCCTTTTGCACCTGACTGCTCAGCATATCTCTGCAGCTCTTGAGTGAATTTATTCAGAGCTTCCCTCTGACTTGGGGTTCTCGACTCGTTTTCGAGACCACCCGAGGCCCGGGAAGGTGGCTGTTGAGTGTCACTTCGTCCACGAACGGTTGTGTTCTTGATAGATAGCATTTGTAGTTGTTGGGCTATATTTCTCGAAATGGCCTCCACAAGTTCGTCGTTAACATTCTGGTGACCTTGGACGACAGAGTTATTGCTGAAGACATCTGCAGCATGTCTGTGCAGCGGCGAAGGACATGCGTCTGCCTCCATCTCGGACAACTGGCCTTTGAGAGTCGAATAAGACACTTTTCTCGGGGTTGCTGGGATACCGACCTCGGATATTTGCAAGGGACTGACATCTCTACGAGTATCCTTTGAAGACAACGAGTAGTCTTTGGAGAGATATTCGGGTCCCGAAGATATATAACGTCTTGGCCGTCTGTCACGAGTAGGGAAATCCTTGTGTTGTTTTCCTGGTCCAGAGGCGGCGGAACCAGGCTCAAAATCATCCATCCAGTCTGCTTCACCATTGTAGTTCGTTTCCACGGCGTTATCGTTCGCTCCTTGAACGTGACTAGACTGTTTCATTGGGCTTGTTATATATGAAGTTGCATCGGGTGGTGATGAACTCGATCGATGGCCATGATGTTGCTGGTTTGTGCTCTGATATCTTACACGTACAGATCTCCGTGGTCTAAAAATGGTACGCCCACGAGCTCTTGAGCTGTCGCTGACAGAATGAGGCTTCCGTGTGATGGGCAAGGTTGAGTTGCGAGAGCCGGGGTTAGATTCTGACATGACCATTCTGCAATACACGAGTTATAAGGTTTTAAAAGAGCTGATTGTATGAGAGAAAGAAGGGCTTGGATATGTCGGTATGGTAGAGTGATAATACAATGAGATTGTGCTGATGATGGATGAGAGAATTCTGGCCGAGGTAATGTTGGATTTGTGAGGATTCCGAGAACCTGCTCGGCCAAGGATTGGAAGGTACTATACAAGGTGATAATTTTACATCTCTTGCCACATTGTTTCAGTAGAATACATCCAACTGAACTGAACGTTGGAGTGAGAGGCAGGAGCCGCCGGATGCCGCCTATTTTATGTCTTTGATGCCAGGTGAGCCGTAGACCTCAAGTTGGCGTCGTCCTTTCCGTAAGAGGAATTCAATGGCGGCAAAGTCGCGCTTATCGATAGCCAAGTTTCTAGAGAACTCATGTCTATTAGGTAGAGAGATATTAGAGTATTGATAACTAAACGCTCATAAGTTTGGGAGTAGCCCACCTGGCAAAGCTCTCAAAATGCGAGCGAGTTGCCTGAGTCCGATGTCAGTCAGAGATCCTGAATGAATCATTGGGTCATACTTGTGGCTTCTTTCGACTCTCTCTTAGACAGTTTCTGTAGAGTGCGAGGACCTCTTTTTGGAGTCCTGAGAGGCGTGCCATGTTTATTGATTGGCTTTGGTCGGGGTTAATCCCGATCGAATAACTCAAGTGTTGATGTAATCACTAAAGTCGAGATATCTTTGGTTGGAGAAATATTGAAGTATCATTGTGGAGACTACCTAGATCAACCTTGGGTAGGTACCTATCTACCCACTATAAGATAACTCTGGGGTTCTCGTCGATTGTCTTGTGAGACCTCGCGAACAAATAGATACCTAGTTATCCATCCCTATCACACCGAGTGATAGAAGATAGTCCTATAGGTGCCAACTATCGGAATAAGATCCTCAATGCTAACGGCTTCCTTTATACTTTCAACATGGCCAAATCAGGATGTGCTTGACCGAGATGTGGAATTACAGCCGGAATGGCCAGCAACAACCAGGGGTCCCATTATATGCACTGTATTTAGCCCGCTAACTTAGGTAGGTAGGCACCTAGTATCTTCCACTGTCAACGCCCGATCTGCCTCGTGCCCGAAACTCATCCAACCACTTACAGCTACACCAAACCGCTAATATTAGTATCGCCTCACCCCTTTCAGGCTACAGTTTTCCCACTTCAGACCACGCGCCCCGTTCTAAGGCACACTAGGAATATGAGCTGAAACTCGGCCTCGCCCCTAATGGCCCTCTTAACAGCGTGAGCCACTTCACCCGCTTCTGCGGTAGAAGTCCAGACATGGCCAGGCAAATGCGAGCGTGCCACGAGATGGGGCATCTGATTGGCCACACGTCATTCCCAAGGCATTCCATGGCATTGCATGGCATGGTAGCCTCTCTCTAAGACTGCCCCCAGGGCTGACTCTGGGCCTAGAAAGTGCCTGGTCGAGCTAGTGATGTGACAAATCGGTCATATCATGGCTTTGAAGAGGACGATTAAGCACCGGAACCCCCTTGCCTACAGACGCTCTCATGTTTCCTGGACAGAGTTCAACCAGCATATGGACGGTTGATTAGCTTACACGGGCCACCAGGATCGGGTAGGTTGACCTGCAGATCTAGGACATCTCGCTACTCATCAAATCGTGTATATAGTTTTCTGTCGCATGATCAACACTATCGACCCGTTCGGCCAGTCAAACATATCATTACACAGTACTTTGTTTCTCACTAGAGGCATACTCTATTCTTGACCTCTCTGGTTGACACCTTTTGTATTTTTGTCCAGGCGAGAGGGTGCTTTCATGTTGACAACAGTAGTAGGTATGGCAGGGTTGAGTCATGAACAGCCCCTCATGCCTGGAGCCTTCGGCCCTGTAGATTACATCGATTTTTACGAGGGCCCCTTCGAAGTTGTCAACGGCTCTGAAACTTCTGGGGGGAAGCAAGAGCAGCGAGGTTCTTGGGTGGTGAAGAAATTGCCCGATCTTGATATTGTTGACCTCGACTGGCACAAATACGACCCCCCAAAGGCACTGAGAAAGGCACCAAATATCACGTCTCAAGTCCTTCTCGACGTACTTCAGTCTTCAGTTGACAATGTTAGCGCAAGAATCATCGAAGAGGATCGCCAAAAGAAAGAAAATGAGGAGCAAAGAAAGCAAGAGGAAAATGAGAAGGGCAAAAGCAAGGAGCCTTATCTGCCCATCATTATACCTACAGAGCCTCCAGTCGAGGAAGAACCGGACCACGCCGTACCTCCCCCCAAGATTAAAAAAGAAATCCTCATGACAACTTTTGGTCCTAGCGTTGTCACCAAAGCCGATGCAAGAGCAAACAAGAGACGCCTTTTTGCTCTTCGCCGTTTCTTCCAGCGCCGTGACGAACGAGGTGAGAGTAGCGCCACGGGTGCCGCTCTCGGAGCTCTGCAAGAACAGGTTGCAGAAGCTGAGCATGCTAGTGAAGGTCCCGGTCGGTTGGCTAAGCTAAACTGCGTCGACGAAGTGTGAGTTCTGGTACCGTATATGAGGTTCCCCTACTAACAAACTACTCTCAGGGAATGTGTGTCCTGTCTGGACGACTTTCACCCCAAGGACGTCATCAAAGTGCCTTGTCATAACTATTGTCGCGACTGTTTTGTTCGCCTGGTCACTGCTGCATGCCAGAATGAACAACAGTGGCCACCCAAGTGCTGCCTAAACGAGATACCCGTCAAGATCGTCATGCGTTTCGTCCCTTCCGACCTGAAAAAGACATTTGAGGACCGATCTAAAGAGTGGGAGCTCCCCGTCGGCGACCGTGTCTACTGCAGCAATCCAAACTGTAACCTCTGGATCAAGCCCAAGCGGATCTACCCCGGAAAGCGTCAAGGAATATGCGATCGCTCTCATGTAACATGCACGTTATGCCGTGGGCCTGCTCATGCTGGAGAGGATTGCCCTCAAGATGTCGATATGAGCCTCACGAACCAACTGGCCGAGGACGAGGGCTGGAAACGATGTTTCAACTGCAACGCCTTGGTTGAGCATAGGGAGGCTTGCCAACACATGACCTGTAGGTGTGGCACCCAGTTCTGTTACGTTTGCTCACGACGATGGCGAACTTGTGCTTGTACAATGGAGGACCTCCAGGCACTGAAAGAGGGGGTTGTTTCTAGACGCGCAGAAAGGCGCGCTCAAGAGCTAGAGGAAGCCGAGGAATTACGGCATATTGTTCTGCAAATTGAGGAGTTTGAACGTGAAGAAGCTCTCAAGGCCGAGCTTCTACGGTTGGAGCAGGAAAGATTAGAGGAGGAACGCCGTCAGCGTGAGCTCGAGGAAAGATTGCGGCAGGAGAGCATCCGTCGGAGGGATATTGAAGTCAAGTATCAAGAGCTGAGGACCGTGCTCGATGAGTTGCATGACCTGCAACAAGTATTGCTCGATGTTGACCAAGAAGAAGAAGCTGAGAATATGATTCTTAACATCAGGGCTACAAAGCAGGAGTTGGAAATGAAACATGAGACGGAACTGTCCAACTTGAAAGCACTCGCACTGGCGAAGATGACTGAAAAGGAAAACTCACTCAATAATGACTTCCGAGTTCGTGCAGCGAAGGAGAATGAGCTTGAAGAGGCTTACCACGAGCGGCTCAAAGCATATTGGAAAGACAAGGATAACGGAGACCAAGAAGTTGAGAATTCAATGCTCTCTCTCAGAAAGCGTATGGATCAGAAACACCACGCATGGCAGAAGTGGAAGGCCGACCAGCTCAAGGTCTTGGAGGCCAAACTCGAAGATAACAGAACATATCGAGAGGAGCTCATGTATAGCGCCAAGCACCGGCTAGACGACTGTTGTAAGGAGAGAGAGGCAGAGATGACGAGACGCATGGCAGCTGAGAAGAAGTGGCTTGAGGCTGTGATACTGGAGAGAGAAAAACTGCTGAATGAACGGGAGGCTCAGGAGGTTGAAGGTGATGCAGGCAGCATATTTGCGGTGGAGTCAGAAGATTCTGGAGACGGTCACTATGTTGTTGCCACCGCATTTTAAATCGCATAGACAGTATACAAATAGTGATCACAACACTGATAATGGCTTGTCTTTATTTCGTAATTGTGATATTTCTTTCTTCAGGTGTTCTTCTTGGTAGTAAGTCTAGTCACGTGCCTTGACTTGCACAAAAAACCTCTATTCTCAAGTAATCCAACTACCGTATACAGCTCACTGTAGACCGAGAAGCACATCACGACTGATAAGAGTTTATTCTTGGCTTCTCGTATTCTTTCTCTCAAAATGTCGATCGGTGAAAAGTGTGAGTCTGACCAGTAAGTGAATGTCATCATTCCGATATGTCCAGGGTATGCCTAACATTGTGAAATAGTCCACTCAAGATCTTTGATGTGGCTAGGAAACAGGATCGTTTCTTATATGCTCTTGCGCCCATGGTTCGATATGGAAAGGTATACTTCGGTGAACTAAATACTTGAGTCTGCTCATATTTGTTAGTTGGCATTTCGACAAACCGTTCACAAATATGGAGTTGACCTGTGTTGGTCTCCTATGATCCTTGCCAAGGAGTTTAATCGAAGCAGTTTTGCCCGAGACAGCGGTAGGTCACAGTATGCCTGTATAATGAGCTCTATGCTGATGTATTGGAACAGATTTGACTATCTCTACTACACCAAAGCAACCACCAACCATTGTCCAGTTCGGCGCAAATGTCCCCCTTGAACTTGCTCGTGCATCAGCTCTCGTCGCCCCTTACACCCAAGGTGTCGATC